CGCTATGTTGATAATCAATTTAGATGACTACTTCGATATTCAACACCCCGGAAGATCGAAAATACCAAAAAATTCTTTGGAGATTTTCGAAAGAAGAACCGATTCAAACATACGAAATAAATCGCGTTATGTTTGGGGGCAAGTCAGCGCCATTTCTCGCGATTAATGCTACATTCCATCTGGCTGACACAGAGCAAGAGAACTTTCCTCTCGCAGCTAAAAGCGTAAAAACTTGCATGTATGTCGATGATTGCATGAGCGGTAGCCACTCCGTTGAATCAGCGATTAAAATTCAACGTGAACTGAATAATCTATTCAATTCCGGGCACATGCATTTACGAAAATGGGCTTCGAATAACGAAACAGCATTGGAAGGCATTCCAATGGAAGACCGAGCGATCAGCCCATCTTTGACGCTGAAAACAACCGACACAGTAAAAACTCTCGGCATGCGTTGGACGCCATCCAATGATTTATTGAATTTCACCATTGATTTTGCGCAATTATCATCCGAAAACCCTATCACAAAACGAAAATTGGTGTCAGACGCATCCAAATTATATGATCCGTGTGGATTGTTAGCACCAATCACAATAAAGGCCAAAATTCTCATGCAAAAGACATTTAAAGCAAAGCTCGATTGGGACGATAAAGTTACCGATGAAATTCAAATTGAGTGGGATAGCTACAAATCGGAACTACCATTGATAAAACAGCTTAAAATTGTTCGATGGTTTGAGACTGAACAAAATTCTTGCCTAAAAATCCACGGATTTTGTGACGCTTCAAATGATGCAATGGCTGCCAACATTTATATAGTGCAAACAAACAATCAAAAAACCACTTCGTCACTCGTATGCGCCAAAACTCGAGTCGCACCAATCGATCCCGTATGCACTCCTCGTTTAGAATTATGTGGCGCCGTTTTGCTCGCAAATTTAGCATCACGAATTCAAGAGAATTTGCAAATCGGTAAAGAAAATGTACATTTGAACCCGTGAGCATAAAAACAACGTATTGACTCTCTGCCGATGAATACGAAACGCAAAAAAATCGCCGAACAAAGTGAAACACCAATCTGTTATTGGATCAATATGAAACATGAAATCGTTGGCCACTATCTTATTTACGTTGCGCTTTGTTTCGAAGCGCGGCAAGTGTTTCATTTTGTTCCAGTAACAGAACGTTGTATCACTTTGTTCGGCGACGCGCTCAATGTACTGTTTTGAAAAAATATGCATGATTTGATACAGTTTTGTGCGAGTGCAACATAAATTCTGTTCGCTTGAAAGTGAATCGTGAAATATCGGCTGACTATAGAAATTGTGTTTCACTTTAATTGAAACAAAAATGTTTGATACAATTTTGAGTCCATTGGTATGATGATTCATTTTAATGGTGGTTTTGGTCGTGATTTGTCTATGAAGTGAAAATTAACTGATAAGGAGCGCGAATTTCGATGTGCCGATAACACCAATAGAGCAGAAAAGATTACTATATGAAAATCGAAAAAAAATTTAAACTTTTTTTTTCGACTGTTGCCTATTTCGGATCGTCTACATGGGAAGTTTGTATGAAATCCTCGGAACGCGGGTTCACGCCGCTGTGAATACATTGGTTTATATAGTGAAATCTATACATGGCCAAAACACGGACGCAAAACACCCATTCTATTTCGCTCACACTTACGTGCAATTTTTACCCGTA